CTAAATTAACCAATCAAAATACTGGATGATGCCAACGTTTTCAAATTACCATAGCTCATTTAAATATGTTAATGTGTTTGAACTCAACGCGGAAGAGATTTGCCGATGTTGTAGTACAATCTTTTGGCTTGGATCAAATAAAAAAATAGTTGTTTTCAAAAGATTAACTGAGCATAAGAAGAATAAATTATCACTGTTTACAGTGATAACAGCGCATTTTCGAAACGAAGCTTACCCATTCACGCTAGTCACAATAAACACGCTCTCCACTGCTTATTTCATTCTATGAGCTCAACTGTTGACATATTATATTATAATTTGATGAACAAAACAGGATAAGCACTTTGTTGAATGTATGAAACCTAATCTGGTAATATGAGTTTCAGTTATTCGATAACGATAAATGATTCGTTGTGGAAGCAAAAGTCATCATCTCCACTGTTATAATTTTTTGATGAGAGACACGGGTGTTGACTCTAAAAAATAATTAATATTTATACGTCTTGTTCTTGATTATTCGGTGGTGTATCTTGGCTTGTAATCGCAAATTGGGAAAACAAAAGCCCCGCCCATACGAAATCTTAAAAATACGCTATAAGTAAATAAAAGGCGGCCAAAGGATAAAGAGGGATATAAACTGATACAAGCAATACAACTGCTTAGCCAAATGAATCTCTCAGTTCTTTCTTCATTATCGAAATGTTGAACCCATGGCCATTAAAATCCGATTCCTGTTTTAAATCATGATGGGATGTGTAGAACATTCACAGAAAAATGTGAAACCGACTATAACAACGAGCAAAACTGGCCAAATGGTATTACATAGTATACGCTTATTGAATCGGTAGATTTAATCAACATATGTCTGCAAATCGCTATGATTGTTTTCATATAGTGAGTGAGCTGTAATCATATGAAAAATGAAATCACTGCGGTATAGTAACTGTAACTATATAAGTAACTTCATGAATGTACCACACTTGTAAAGCGCTATTTTAAATCAGATCTTGAACCTTGGGATTAACTAGTAGAGTTTTTCCTTAGCTATTGAAAACGATATTTTAGCAGATTTCGTGATATGTTACACGCCAAATACATTGAATATGATGAATACTATTAAAATTAATGGAAAAACGACAGAGAGTACAATATCTTTTGTATTAATGTGCATTACAATTGTGAATATATTATCAAACACAACCGACATTCGACCTCATGCATTTACGAGGTGCTTATCACAACGGCCCCAAGTTTGTACACTGGTTGTTTTAGTATGCACAATAGCAATAACCTGCTGTATTTATCCAACAAATATAAATGTGTGGCCTTCAAACGTGAATAAATCATAGTACGATTTGCTATACAGTATGAAGCATGAGACAATAATTGTGTAAACATGTCCATATTTCATCCTTAACTATCTTTAGCATATGCTTGTTCAATAACATGGGGCATTTCTCGGGTATCTTTGTTGAGGGCGCATTGTTTCTATAATCGGAAGACGTTTTATTATAATTTCGAACAACAGTTGTATTTAAAATACACACACACACAGTTGAGTTTTCTACTACCATTAGCTCCACGTGATATACAATTACGTAGGGCATGCGGGCAACTTCGTACATGAAAGTAACATAATTCGCATACAATGCATATATATGCGTAATTCGGAGACATATGAGAAATAAGTTGCTCCCCAATAAAGCTATCTTCATTCTCAAAAAAACACCGTTTGCCAAATAAACTACGTAGGAGAAACGTAATGATTCTAAAGATTATATATAATTACGATCGAAAATGTTGAGCGAATTTATTAAAAAATACATTAAAAAAATGTTCAAACTGTTGCAGAAAATACGTTCAAGGTTTTAAAAGAATGTTGTTAAAACAACTACAATATCAGACGGAAATCATAAACATATGAAACGATTGGTTACATGAGATTAGAATCACAAAGACGACATTGAAATTAAATATAATATGTTTTCAAAGTTTGGCAAATTCTGTAGATCCTAGTTATTAAATTCTGTTTACGTACGAGTGAACACAAATACACTGGAAACAATAACCTTGAATTCCGGAAACACCGAACAATATGACACTTTTATATGATGATTGATGAAGAAGTGAATAAGCAACGCCCCGAACATTCGCTGTATTGTATCGATGTTGTGTAGCTCGGTGATTTCCATATAAAAAGGCCATTGGAGAGGGGAAACACTCATACCATTGGTAACACCACTCAGCTGTGATTCACTTCCGTAAGTACTATACTTTGCATCTTTGTTATCTGACTTGTGAGTACCTACTCGTGTGCTAGCACACATACGGTAATATACAATAGTGTGTATTGAGCACACTATTAGCGATGACTGTGTCATTGCCAATTTCAACGCTTATGATTTTCCAGGAACTTCAATAATTAAAAAACTGCCAATTCTCTTGAGAAAAAATGATTTTCTTCTCATCTTCGTCCTCATCATTTTGTATTTTATTTGTTGAACGTTGAACCCGTATATTCTTATTGTGGTATGAAATAATGTTAGTACAAAAAAATAATGTCATCACCTTATCAGTTTTAAATGTATATTGCAAAGAGTAGAAAACCCCAACAATTTTGAAGAAGGTAAAAGTTATTAGGCATCGATGTTCAGTTTAATCTCAAAAGCATTGAAACATCGCAATTTCTGCATTTCATCGTTCTATGCACATAATGTGAATTTAAGACATATTATATGATGGTACCATACTCATTCACGTTTATTGTATTTTGCTTCAGAAATTACCAAGCACGACAATATGCTGATATTTGTTACTTTTCTCGCCTTTGTCGGCGCCACATATGCTCAACATCCCTCCGGAAATCCCAAAGGTGAGAAATTCTATATATTGTTTAATTGTTTCTTGTGTGTGTATTCAGATTAATACTCTCATCACTCATTATTTGAACAACTCAACCATATTATATAATTATTTGAATTATTATAAAATGATAATCGTCCGTGAGCCTCTATCTAGCCATGTGTTTGTTTCTACAGTATTTGACTATACAAGTTGTTACTGTTGGAGATATGAAGTATTCTGCAGAACTGAGGATTCAGACTGGCAGTGGGCTAAGGACGAGTGTGAAAGCATGGGTGGTTGGTTAGCAACTATCGACAAGAAGACGACTCACCAAGAAATACGAAAACTGATCCGTGCACAAGCCGACAGTAGGGTTTGCAATAACTACGGATTTTGGATTGGTCTACATGATGCTAGTGATCCAAAAACATCCAGACATAAAGGCCAACCTGACAAGTTTTCGTGGGTGCACGAACAGTGCCACGATTTTCAGGTCTGGGAAAAAAATCAACCCAATGATAACAATAAACAGGACAGTAATGGACAGAATTGCGTTCAGTTGTGGTAAGTACAGCCGTACATTGAAGTATAGGTAGTCAATAGATAATACACACTTGTGTGGTACCCTGTTTACATCTGTGTTTCGTTCCACTTGCATTCTGGATATATCCGCCATATTGTTCATTATAAATCATGGTAACAACAGATTTTCCTGGTAAATATTTGTATTCAGCTATGCGAACTAAACCGTCCATTGGCATAACTATTGTTTTACATGATTCTGAGTGAAGAAATAAAAACAACGTCTCCTTTGAAAAAACAAACGTTTACACTTATTAAGTAGCGTGTTTATTAATATGTATATATCTGTGCTCTGACACATTAGTTTCAATGTGCTTCATCAGAAGGATTCACATTACAAGAAAATGTACTGTAACTGCTTGATTATTTCCTTCTTATTGTCTTTTCACGGCGACAACAGCGTAACTTTATATAACCAATCTAACAGTTTCTATCTTAGAGATCGGTCTCAATGCATTATTTCGTATTTTAGGCACAGACCATCGAAAAAAGGTAACTTTGATGATGAATATTGTGGTGAACCTAAGGGATACGTCTGTCAGTTCAAAGAAGGTAAGAAAAATACTGTCACACATTGTCTAAGAAGTCAAACGCATTAAAAAAACACTTTGCCATTAGATACAATTTGTCCATTACATGAACCTTGTTCTCCTTCAATGCATTATTCGACAGATATCACAGTAACTATTTGTTATACTAGATATAGTGATGTTAGTAAATCAACTGAAAGTCGGACAGTTTGCTTTAATCATAACATTTAACACAGACGACGGTAGGATCCGTCTGAATATTTAATCACTGTGATGTTCTGTATTTCAGAATGCCCATGTATCAATCAAGCCGTGGAGTAAGGCGTGGCCGACAGAAGTATATATTGCGATGAACAACTCAAACCCATTCGATGTTTCTCCTTGTCAATAGGACGAAAGAAGTATCACCTAGTTCATCTAATATATAATGCATGATTAGGGATTCATTCTCGTGAAGGGAACCTTGATTCTGTAACAATATTATACTATTGACTGATATACTATAATACTATTGACATATGGAACATATGGGTTGGTTGTATTAGTAATAAAAATATATTGTGAATATTTATGTCTCAGATGTATATATATCTACATAAACTTGAAACCTTGCAGAAATATGATGTATGAATGTGCTAATATCATAAGGATCAGTTAATATAACAAGAAGTGTATATATATGACAACCCTAACTGAGCTGAAAGCTCATATATTGATTTGCACTCGTAGTAAATTAAACTTAATGTGTTCATGTGTAAATATGAAGACAAATATCACCAACATGGTACAGAATTTAATTTCTAAATCATCGCAATATGAAGCAGCTTCATTGATGCAGATATAGATGACGATGATGTTTTGCATACGTCACGATCGCCTAATTTGGTCACCCATATTGCATTCTGTTCTCAGGCAATAACTTTAGAAGTTCAACATCGTTGAGTAGGCGAACATCGTGTTTGACGCATTGCTACTAGAAAACAAACTACGCTATCAAAAATCTCATACTCTCCTTTGTAGAATAACAACAAATAATATTATGCAGAAAACAATACACCCATAGAAGCCATTTATCTTCGAACTCTGCGGACAAAGTACAATACACAAGTTGGGAGTATGTCTATTTATCATAATCATTCATCGTGGGCTCATTTTATAACTGCACATAATTAAGTATATATAACTCACACGTTAGAAAACCGATGAATGATTTGCGTAGGCATTCTAGATACACCTACAACAGCCAATGTTTGATTGCGCTTTTCGTGGTAATTATGGCAGTTGTTGAATATATTCTAAAATTTTGATATTCTGAAGCAAATAATACATATAGTAAAGGCAACACGAAATGTAAAATCTAATCTCCGCTGATTTCTGAAATCAATCATAACTCAGGAGTTTAGACACAGAAACAATTAGTCTATTTAAAATTCTATGTTGAAATACAGTTACAGTGATAACAAACGCGTATATGTATTTTACTTGATCAATCAGTGGTGTATAATACCTTTTCACATCAAATTGTAAAAAAAGACCTACTTCAAATATCCTGAAAATACTCATGCTATAAATTAATAAAGAAGACAAATACATAAACCGATACAAAAGGTACCACTGCCTAGCGAAATGAATGTTCTTTCCTTCAGTGTGGCTAAAAAAATCGAATTTCTGTTTTTTTTTTATCACGCATATAGCACAATATAATATATATTTTCAGCATTCACTTACTTCATGGTAACACTTTCGTTTACAGTTAAATCAGTTGAAATGGTATACATATCCATATCATTGTGTTATTTGTTTTTCCCACACCAGAGTGGAAGGTGAGGGTGGGCACTCTTGTGTTCAAGTCATTTTGAACGTGATCATGTTTTTGTATTTCAAAAACTATGTTCTGCGTTGTTTTTGCAGTACAAGTACACGTACCCGTAATCAAGAATATACATGTATTTATTAGATTTAAGTTTTGTCTGGGTAATATGAACTCGTTTTTGTTAAAGCATGCTTCAGCGCTTCAATCCCAGGAAAGAAGAAGAGTTTTAAGCTGTTTTGACCAGTCTGTCATCTTGGTACCTCATTGGATAAATTGCCGGGACTTAACTATTGAACAGGTTAAACAGCTCGCCACATCAAATTATAACCATTCCTTCAGACATTTTGAAATTTGTAATCCTTGATCTGAAGAAATCTCAACTACAAACTGCGCATTCC